AGGGAGGGAGAGATAGGAAGAGAGGGAGAGATAGGAAGAGAGGGAGAGATAGGAAGAGAGGGAGAGATAGAAAGAGAGGGAGAGATAGAAAGAGAGGGAGAGATAGGAAGGGAGGGAGAGATAGGAAGAGAGGGAGAGATAGAAAGAGAGGGAGAGATAGGAAGAGAGGGAGAGATAGAAAGAGAGGGAGAGATAGGAAGAGAGGGAGAGATAGGAAGAGAGGGAGAGATAGAAAGAGAGGGAGAGATAGAAAGAGAGGGAGAGATAGAAAGAGAGGGAGAGATAGAAAGAGAGGGAGAGATAGAAAGAGAGGGAGAGATAGAAAGAGAGGGAGAGATAGAAAGAGAGGGAGAGATAGGAAGAGAGGGAGAGATAGAAAGAGAGGGAGAGATAGGAAGAGAGGGAGAGATAGGAAGAGAGGGAGAGATAGAAAGAGAGGGAGAGATAGGAAGAGAGGGAGAGATAGGAAGAGAGGGAGAGATAGAAAGAGAGGGAGAGATAGAAAGAGAGGGAGAGATAGGAAGAGAGGGAGAGATAGAAAGAGAGGGAGAGATAGAAAGAGAGGGAGAGATAGGAAGAGAGGGAGAGATAGAAAGAGAGGGAGAGATAGAAAGAGAGGGAGAGATAGGAAGAGAGGGAGAGATAGAAAGAGAGGGAGAGATAGAAAGAGAGGGAGAGATAGGAAGAGAGGGAGAGATAGAAAGAGAGGGAGAGATAGGAAGAGAGGGAGAGATAGAAAGAGAGGGAGAGATAGGAAGAGAGGGAGAGATAGGAAGAGAGGGAGAGATAGAAAGAGAGGGAGAGATAGAAAGAGAGGGAGAGATAGGAAGAGAGGGAGAGATAGAAAGAGAGGGAGAGATAGAAAGAGAGGGAGAGATAGGAAGAGAGGGAGAGATAGAAAGAGAGGGAGAGATAGGAAGGGAGGGAGAGATAGGAAGAGAGGGAGAGATAGGAAGAGAGGGAGAGATAGGAAGGGAGGGAGAGATAGGAAGAGAGGGAGAGATAGAAAGAGAGGGAGAGATAGAAAGAGAGGGAGAGATAGAAAGAGAGGGAGAGATAGGAAGGGAGGGAGAGATAGGAAGAGAGGGAGAGATAGAAAGAGAGGGAGAGATAGAAAGAGAGGGAGAGATAGAAAGAGAGGGAGAGATAGGAAGAGAGGGAGAGATAGGAAGAGAGGGAGAGATAGAAAGAGAGGGAGAGATAGAAAGAGAGGGAGAGATAGGAAGAGAGGGAGAGATAGGAAGAGAGGGAGAGATAGAAAGAGAGGGAGAGATAGAAAGAGAGGGAGAGATAGGAAGAGAGGGAGAGATAGGAAGAGAGGGAGAGATAGGAAGAGAGGGAGAGATAGAAAGAGAGGGAGAGATAGGAAGAGAGGGAGAGATAAAGATAAAGAGAGGGGGACTTTTACATTCTTCTTCATTGTCTACCCCCACCCCTTTATTACTACTCTTCATCCTTATTATCCTCCATATTGTCCTCCTCCCTCTCTCCATACCACCCCATCTTCCTCCTGACCTTGTCCTTCTACTGCTTCCACTTCTGTAAACCTTTTGAGTACTCTTTTTGGCTCAGCCAAGTGGGATCAATCTTTTGTGATTCCCCCAACTCCCCTCTAGAAAGTCTTGAAGAATGATCCACTCTTTTATCCACCCTCTAATCCCTTTACTTGCTCTACATTCAAAGTATCTGCTGATATCCATCCTCCTCCTTAAATTCCCCCTATGCCTCCTCCTCCCACTCACCCAAAAAACACCCCATTCTCTCCTCCTCCATGTACATCACCATTCCCCCTTCCTTCCCAATTATCCTTACCACTCCCACCTAGATGCTCACATGACTCCCTTATGTCATAACAATGTCCTTCTCCAGACCGCTCTCCTCCTGACATTCTTCCCGATACTTCACCACCTTCCCATGTTCCCTTATTTCATTCTCAGGATTCTTTTCCTACTTCTACAACTATTGTTTCTTATGATATTACCCTATGATTTTTTCATAATAGCTCTTTTGCAGTTTTCATCATACAGTCTAACACTCCCCTCCTCAGACTCCATTTGATCTGATCCCCTTTTATAAATCCCCACTTTATTCCATTTGCTCCCCCTCTATAACCTTTTCATTACCATTCTACCCTATAATGTTCTACAACCTTTGACACCTAACACATCTTATCCTGATCTTTAACTCATTTCCACCCCTTTTGCCATAATACTTTACCATAGTTCTCTATGACCTTTGATGTCTAGTACATTTATTTCTTGTAACCATTAACCATTATTTTCCTTTTTTAGCATTACACTTCTTGTTTTTCTTTTTCTTCTTATTCTTCATTGGAAAAGGAATTCATATCAATTCTTTTGTAAAACTGTATTGGCAGTAATCATATAATGGATTCATATTTTTGCCCAACAGCTCAGTTTGTCAAAGAACAACATTTTGGTGGTTTCTTGACAAGACGAGAATATGAGGAAGGTGATACTGACAAACACAAGACTAAAAAAGAATGGATTGATGAAATCATAGCAGAGTCAAAAAGAAAAAAGGCTGAGTTCAAAAAGGAAAAAGAGGAGCAGCATGAAGCTGTCAGTAACCTTGATTCCAAATTACAAAATTTCATGATGATTATGGCTGGTTATACAATGACTGATGAGGACAAACAAGCAGTAAGTGACCGCAACTTTTTGTTAACAGTTTTGGCATCTCCTTTTTTATGCCACAAACATCCAAAGATTTTTGTGTAAGGAATAAGATTATCATGTTGATAATTCTTAATTGAAATATTTTTGAAATATGTCATGTCAGTTGAATGTTTTGTTTATAAGAGTATTTCGCTTCAGTGAATTGTATAATAACTTCATGTGATTTCTTTCATATTCCAGGCTAAAACAAAAAGTGCCTTTAGAGACTACGATATGCTCGTTAAAGAGCTTGGATTTGACCGTACTGGAAAAGCAAAACCTGTTGATAAGTTGAAGACACCAGAGGAAATAGCCAAGGAAGAGAGAGAGAAACTTGAAAAACTAGAAGCAGATCGTGTCAGGCGGATGAAGGGAGAAGAAGTAAAAGATGTGAAAAAAATGAGGAGTGCAGATGACCTAGATGATCAGTAAGCTATGAAGTGATTGTGAAAGAACTAAATTATTTTTGGGGAAATTGAAGTAGAATTACGATAATGAATAATGGAAATTTTTTCTGCTACTTTTCTTGCACATATATGGCAGCACAAAGTCTCAGCCACCAAGGAGTCATTTAGTAGGCCCTAATCATGCCATCCATGTCCAGTGGGTTAAGTTGCTTTACTCATTTGTTGTAGTGCACAATATGTGTGTTCTTTGTGTTTTTATTTCTATTTTTCTTTGCTCTTGTTTGTTAGTATTCATGTTTGTGTGTCTTTGTAAATGTCTGTGCTTGAATGTGTGTGTATATCTATGGCTGTAACCATATATATTTGAAGGTGTGTGTAGGTAGGATGTATGTGGGCATAGATGTATATAGATGTGCATGTGTGTGTGCAAGTATAGAGGTCTGTATCTTTGTTTTTTTTATCAATGTATGCATATATGCTATACTTCTGTTGTAATTAATGTGTATATACTTTACTTTACAGGTACATATTACAGAAAGATGTCCAGGTACCTCTGAGTTATAAAGATGGCAAAATGTTGACAGGAGATGATGAAGACCAAACAGAAGATGAAAGTGATGATGAAAAGGATGATGATGCTGAAGATGGAAATGGTAGGACATTATTTGTGCGATTTGTAATAGGATTCCATCTTTTTTAAGAATCCTTTTCAACTTATTTATGATGACATTTAGACTTTCATGTTGAAGCAGATGCAAATAATGTTGATAAACATTATATCCGCAGGATTGGTTGTGATTGTAATTTACAAAGATTTGATTGTATGAATACATTTTCAGAGGAAGTAGATGAAGATGGGGAAGAAGAGGAAGGAGAAGGAGGAGAAGAAGAGGAAGCCGAAGAAGAAGAGGATGATGATGATGATGATGAAAGTGATAAGTACTCAGATATTTTAGAAGAAAGTGAGAGTGAAGAAGAGGAAGAAGAGATAAAAGAAAAGCCTGGTACACTTGAGGTGATTAAAAAGAAGGAAATGATGGAAGCAGCCAAAAAGGAGCTGCCATATACATTTGAAGGTAAGTGTTGTAAGAGTTACAGCTGTGGCATAAAAAAAGACAAAAATATAAAAGTAATTATATGGTAAACACTATTGAAAAATTATAGTATGTGCTGATTGATTTGGTGCCTTATGTTTGTATTACCTTTACAGACTGCTTATATGATACTATATTGGTTATGATGATAAATAAGCACAGACTACAAAATCAAATTTACACAAATAGTAATAACAAAAGCCTATGGCATACACTTGTTCTCTTGTTCTACTCAGTCCCTTTGGCCACTTAAAAGTTATTTTATTTTTTATTATCTTCTATAATGGTTGTTTCCTTTAATGTAATTCATGTAATTTTATGTCATCATAAATCTTTAAATTTACAGTATAACTTGCCATCACCACAAGATTAGTGGTAGGGCTGTTTTGAACACTTGGGCAGAGAGATATTATATTTTTGTTTAGTAATGAAATAGTGAACTGATTTCTTATGTCATTGTGTGGGGATACAAGATACCATGGTGATAGCTTAACTGTTAGGCACTATACCTATACATAAATTCTCTTTAGATTTCAAGTGAATGTGCAGGTTGCAGAGGGTGTGTGGGATTAACTAATATAAAAGACAATACAATAATTGTACCAACTTTTATAATAGACAATATGATAATTGTACCATTATAATAGACAATAGACAACTATTATAATAGGCAATGCAATGTTTGTACCAACTATTATAATAGACAATGCAATAATTGTATCAACTATTATAATAGACAATAAAATAATTGTACCAACTATTATGATAGACAATACAATGATTGCACCATGTACATTTATCTTGTAGGCAGTTCCAAACAT